TATGGAGCAGGATTTACTTCAGTGGAGCTGTAGTGTTCACCAAGTGCGCCCCTTGAGTGTCACTCGTGGATGTGGTAGAGTTGTAATCCAGCGTGGTTGAATCTGGCCACCAGGCGCACTGTCTCTGGGGCCTCCCGGGAGGTGCAAAGTCAGCCTGTGCCAGTGCCTTTGCCCAGGGCCACCCAGCATGAGCTACACAGCAAACCATAGTTGGCTGCTGCTTGTGCTGGGCTGGGAGGTGTCCAGGAGAGGCCAAGCTATGAGCCAATGCAAGCTGCCACTAGTGCCAGGCCACTTATCAAGCTGTAGGGGGCACACTGCTGCTTGAGAGATTTTAGGAGAGTCCTAAGCATGAGGCTCGAGAAGCCACTTGCATAGAAAAGCCACTGGAAACAGCCTGGATGAGCCTGCACGTGGGAAGGGGCGGGGCCTCCGGGAATCACTGAGTCAGGTGCTGGTGATTCAAATATGGCACCTGCCTGCCGGCTGTGTGCGGCGAGGACTCACCAAAGGAGCAATGGCCTCTGCCCGCTCTTCTGCCTGGGAGGAAACTCTCGCCCCAACCTCAGGCAGGTTAGTTCCTCCCCAAGTGCCCCAGCTTCCTTTCAAGCTGCTGCCCGGTGCTGGGGCTCAGAGGGAGCGCGTCTGAGTCCGTGCGCCGGCCCTTTAAGAGGAATACCTGGGACTCCCGCAGCCTCCAGGTCCCTAAGTGACAGTCCCCGCTGGTTTTCACAGCCCTAAGTTGTGGGGACTTCTCTTCCCGGCCCTGGAGCCCTGGGCTGGGACCCCTCGCTCCTCCAGGAAACCTCCACCATCAAGATGTTCCTCCCAGGTTTAAACCACAGCACTGGGTGTGGGGCCGCGGCTGCGTCTCCATGATTCAGACCGAATCCACCAGTATCTCCGCCCCTCCTACCGGTCTCGGTCCTTCTTCAGTTCCCTCCTTATAGGGCTTCTGTTCAGCTAGATTTCAGGAGGTTCTGAGTGATGGTTGTTCTGTATTTTAGTTGTAATTTTGATGTGATTGTGGGGGGCGGCGGGTGCAGCTGTTACCTACGAGGCCATCTTGTTTCCCTTCACTACTTAAAACTTGAATCAAATTATTTAATCTACCTGAGTCTGATCCTGCCTATCTTATGGTACAAGATATGGGCACAAAAAAAATGTATGTGCAGCATGGCATAGTGCCTGGCACCATGGGAAATAAATGTACTCACATACACATACCCTCCCCTTGCCAACATTTCCACTAAATAGACCCTGGCTTTTCTCCATTCTAATCAAACTTGCTTATGTTAAGCTCTGGAAAGCTCATCAGCCCCCACCAGGAAGCCCCTGCTTGTGCCACCTGTTGTTTTGGAAATGAGGTAAAAGGACACTTACGTTTTCCCCTACACCACACAATCATCTTCAGATATGCTTCTCATATTAATAACTGTTAGGTTTTCTCTCACTATCATAAAAAGATGTTTACAAATATGTTATTGTTAACTCCTTAACCTTTCCTAATAATTTATACATTCCTTGAGGACAGGGGCTATGTCTTCCCCTTCATTTTTAAGTACCCCAAAGGATTCAGACACATCTTTCAGCAGGAATAAAATCAAAGGACTTCTATAGGGGTGTGTGTGTGTGCAGTTGAGAAACAGCTGACACATGTTCATGGTGGTACCTGTTTTTAGCCTGATACCTGCTAGTGATAGGGGCACTTATACTGTCCAAAGATTGAGCACCTGAATTAGTCTGAAATATAATTATATTACTTATAAAATTGTAGAACACATATACTTATGTGAGCAGGGATTTAAGTTTTTTCTCTTAAGCTTCTTTCTCCTAGGCCTTTGCACCTTGCTCTCCCCTTGATCCCGGACTGAAGCAGTTAAGAAGATGGCGCAGCTGTGCACACTGGGTTAAGATATCACCTTATCAAGACATCGCCAGGTGACTAAGATCAAAAGAATGACTTCCAGGACTGCACATAGCTGCATTCCATTGCCAGCCTCAGTTTGCCCCATATAACCCGATCCCTCAGGTCACTCCTTAAGAGAGGTTTTGGATGCTCGTATGCTCCGTCTTCTTGGTTGGCCGGCCTTCTCAATAAATGCCGTATATGATTCAACCCAGCCTCCGTTGAACTGGATACAGTGACAAGCAGCCCCAAGCCCCACCGGGGTTTCCTGGTAACACTAGGACCCATAGTACTGATTTTTTTCCTAAACTGTTGAAAATACACACGAAATTTACCATATTAACCATGTTTAAGTGCACAGTTCTGTAGCATTAAGTAAATTCACATTGTTTTGCTACCATCAACTCTGTCCATCCACAGAACTCTCTTCATCTTGCACAACTACAACTCTGTAACTGTGACTCCCCATGGCAGCCCCTGGGAACCACAACTGTACTTTCTGTCTCTGAATTTGACTAGATACCTCACATAAGTAGAATCATACAGTCTTTGTCCTTTTGTTACTGGCTTATTGAACTTAGCATAATGTCTTTAAGGTTCATCCAAGTTGCAGCATGTGTCAGAATTTCCTTTCTTTTTATGGCTGCATATTACTGATTTTTGAGGGGGGGAAAGCAACTACATGCCTGTTTTAACAGATAGCTTTATTAATATGTCATTCTAAACATTACATAAATACAACCTATACATTAGAGTATCAAACATTGTTCCAGTAAGATCAACAGTACATTTAGGGCTATTTTAGGAAATATGAATACTTTGGCTTTCATTATTACATCAGATGAAAAAAAGCAATTCAAAGAATAGTTTTCATCTCCTCTATGATTAACAACAAAACAAAGTAGAAAAATAAGCATATTTTAAAAAAAAGATAAGCAGTTTTGAAGGACTTATTCCTGTTCACTACATACATACTCATACAAATTAATAATATGAGAAGTGGTTCTTCACCTGTATTAGAAATTCAGTAAATATTTGTTGAATGAATGAACTATGTATGGAAATGGACTACTACTTTAATTTGTGCTTTTTATAGTTCTTGTTTTCAAGTAAGAGCAATAGTAAACATACTGAAGTTTATGTTTTGTCCAGATTATAAGAAGCCTATAGATCAGTGATTGTTACAAACACTACCCATCATAATTAATAATCAAATCAATGTGTATTTATCAACCTAGTAAGAAAAGTTCTATCATGTTGCAGAACTAATTCTAACCTAATCACTGGGCTTTAATCACCTGCAACATGATCAAGAAAAGGGGGCTGGGACTTCTAGATTTGTATATATTTTACCTACCAATAAATTCCTAGCTTCGGGCCCTCACTCCAGGCCACCACACACTTAAAAACATTGCTAAAAATAACAGCTGCTGCATCTCTTCACCCTCTTGTTAATTTGGCTCTGAAAATGTATTTAGGCTCCAAGTTCAGAAGGGAGGAACTTCTAGGCAGGAAACAGTTCCCTAAGAGAGTTCCCACAAATGGAAATGAGTCTGTGGGCCAGAGGGCTGAATGAACCTCTGTTCTTAAAGCAAATTCAACTGACACATGATAAAACTCAGAATTGAATATTTTTACCTTCCAAATCACACTTCAGAACCAGACCCAAAAGAACCACCAAAAAAACCGTAATTTTGATCTTTTTTCAAGGTCGAACTGTGCTAAATATTAGACCTAACACAATTAAAAGGAGAGGAAAATCAAAAGTCAAAGCTGGCAAAGTCTCAAGCAAATTGGTGATGGATTTGATCTAGGTAAGAGAAGATGAATTCCATTCAGTCCTGTAAGAGAGTTGGTTTTAAGAACCTCTTCTTTGAGTCAGATGTAGCAGATCTGATGACTTAGCAGCCAATTTAGGAAGGCAAGAGTATATTGAATATGTCAGTTTTCCTCTTATGATTGGTATTTATAGGGGAAAAGGTGTGTGGGGGGGCAATTTAAACTTGAGTTCTCAAATTTGATTCTAATAAAATAAAACATCATTAAATAATAGTAGAGATTCTAGTTTATAAAATATTCACCTTTGTCCAAAGTTTCTTTTATTATCAACTTTTCACGGACAGTTCTAAATCACTACTCTTCATGTGCTTAAGCCTTAAGAGAAATCTTGGCTAACCTAGAAATTTATCTCTACCTAATTATCGTTTCAATAGATTTAACTCATATTAAACTGAGTATTATTTTCATACACCATGAAGTTAAGAAAAAAGTCCATCAATAGTGCAAACACAAAAACAAAAGCCTCAAAAGATCTCAGCTATCCCTTCACAGTAACTAATGCAGCACTTCAACAAGCCCCAAAGTCAGCATCTTTAATTCATGGCGGGGCCTCCATGTCTATGTCACAATTCACAAACTATCCCAACTCCTAGTGTCAAAAGGGTTGTTGATATGTGAGCCAGGAGAGTTGCCACAAACTTCCCCTTTCCAAGTTCATAAATTCCTCTAATAAAAAACAAAAAACAACCAGCTGAACTTTTACCCTTTTACAATGTTCCAGCCAAACCTACAGTCACATTTAAAATATACATGTCTGGAAACAAGAGTTGTTTAAAGTAGGTTCAGGAAAAGCCATACATCCTTCATATATTCCTACCCAGAGAACTGTGTCTCAGGTATGAAAAAACCTGATGGTTTTACCTGCAGAATTATATCACCAGTAGAGCACAAAGGACACACCATCCCCAGTGCTCCAGAGCACTCCACAAACCCCAGCAGCCTTGGCTTCAGTTCTTAAAGGCTCCACATTTACTGGCTTTAGCAATGAATTCCTTTAGCAGAGGGCCATCCATTTGCCAAAATGCTGCCGTCTGTGTAACTTCTGTCAAATGATTGATGCAAAACTTAAAGCAGAATTCTTCTAAATCCTGGACACACATAACAAAAATAAAAACAAAAAGAGGCCTTTTTTTATTAACCTTAATTTAATTACTTCTCTCCAAACCCCTCACCCCAAGTATCTCACCCTCCCCCAGAATAAGATAGTTGAGTCCAGAAACCTCAAATTAGGCAAACAAGTGGCCACAGGTAGGTGTCAGAAAAACACATACTACTTACTCACAACACAGCAAAAGCAATGGTTCCCTATCTCATCTGACTCTTCAAAATAATACCCCCATATACACACGGTCTATGAGGGGAAGTTTCCTCATGGTTATCATATAGTCTAGGTATACTTAAAGACATTATTTTAAAAGGCTGAAAGCAACTTTAGTCCATATCATATGTTTTACCACATTCAAGAAGTCAGAGAAAAGAATTAAGATGTGAGTTATTTAGTTTAAGGAAGAGAAGACTATAAGAATTAGAAAAGTGATGAAGAGATGTAGTCAACCTAAAGTGACACATTAAAAAAATTTCCAAGGACCTTAAATTCACTTTCATGCTCTCATAAATAAAAAAGTTTCTTCAAGAATAATTACACAACTTCCACCACACCAATTTCTCAGATGGATAAGAGAGAGAATATTCACAGAGATTGGATTTTTCAGCCAGACAAATGGAAGTCACCAACTACCACCATGCAGGAAAGTAACATATACAGGCTATAAACCAGAAAAAATTTAAAATCTGTTTCTGCCTGGCTAATATATCCTGTCATCCCCAGCAAAACTCCACTATAATGCTGTTTGTTCCTTCCTATGTTGAAACGTGTACTTATTAAATCAATTAGGTACCAGGAATATATACAAAGACTAAGTATATAAAAACAAATTCCACTAAAAGCTCTTAACATAAATAGCTTGATTTTTATTACTTGGCTGGAACAGTGAAGGTACTCAGGGTCCTATCACACCAGGAACTCAACAACGTCTAAACTGCACAGTCCTGGTTTCACATTTCTGGCCACCATGAAATGAGAATTTTAGGCAGAGTGGAGAAGGGCCCACACAAACATATGGACATACCCCTTTTTTGCTCTCTCAGTGCAGACCCCTGAACATTGAAATTTAGAACTGACTCTGAATGAGAACATCAGTGAGAATATGCAAGAATGAAAAAGAGTGATAGTTAAGATTTTTCTCAACCTTACAATAAACAATTCAGCTTTGTTTTTTTTTAATATACCTTTATTCATTTCAGAGAAAGGGAGAGGGGGAGAGAGAGAGAGAAACATCAATGATGAGAGAGTCACTGATCGGCTGCCTCCTGCACACCCCCTGCTGGGGATCGAGCCCGAAACTGTGGCATGTGACCTGACCAAGAATCCAACCTCGATCTCCTGGATCCTAGGTCTATGCTCAACCACTGAGCCACAACCAGCCACGCAACAATTCAGATTTTTATGCCCCACCACATCTGACCTCTGAAAACCTCACATTACTATTGTACTCTGATTCACAATAATGCTATATTTCAAAATGAGTTTGATGTGAGTTTCAGCATGGTACCTGGCATATAATAAACACTCAAAATATATCTATTCAAAGAAGAATATCATGTAGGTGGAAAAAAATTACCTTGTCAAAAGGACATATGGAAGAACAACAACTTTTATAGAAAAGGCAAGAAACGTGAAAAGCAGGTGGGCTCCATCTTCCTAGCATTGGAACCCACAGAATGAAGGTAAAGTCATCTAGTATCCCCAAGTTGAGCTACTGAAAATAATAGTTTTTGCAGATATTTTCAACAGGCTTAGTAGTAGCTTCTCATCAACTAACAGATACAGTGAGTTTTATTTTTATATTCTAAAGACTTCATTTATTCACTTACTACATTCAATAGCATTAAGAAAATAAAATGTAAAAGTATATTAGTCAATTATGCAACTCCTATCAGAATCAATAAAAACAGCCTCGAAAGAAGTGATTCTTTTTTTGTCTTCTATTTTATAATTTTTCTAAACTGAACGTGTTGTATTTGTAGGACTTTTAAAAAGTTTTTTTAAATAAGCACACCTTCATGATTAGGTGTTTCAAAGATATTCACTCATTCATTTAACTTGACATATATTTTTGAATACTAACTATATGCCCATATTGTGGCAGTCTCTGGGAGATCACATGCATTTGTGGTCTCAAATAATGGTGGTTTTTTGTTTTGTTTTTAAATATATCTTTATTGATTTCAGAGAGAGGAAAGGAGAGGGAGAGAGAGAGATAGAAACATCAATGATGAGAGAGGCACTGATTGAGCCCGCAACCCGGGCATGTGCCCTGACCGGGAATCGAACCCCGATCGCCTGGATCCCAGGTCGACGCTCAACCACTGAGCCACGCTCGGCCGGGCATGGGTTTTGTTTTTAATGTATTTATATTTAATATAAGAAAAATGAAAACTAGTCAAGGAATTGATCAGCTTACATAAGACTTTTCTGTAAACTTTCTGGGGTACATATTAGCTAGAAGTGAGGAAGAAATTTCCAGCAACTAAAGCCAGGACATTTGCCTCTGTTCGGGTGGTTTTAGTCAGCAAGATCCCATCCCAAAAATGTGGAACTAGTAGTGAGGAGGAGTATGGAGAGACACAGACAAGATTCTAAAATCAATCACTGAATGGAGAGAAAAGGCACTGGCCAATTTAAAATTATATCATTGGGTGGAAATTAATTCTAAGGAAATAGCATTTCTAATAAAGAAGCTCATAGTATCAAAGAAAGGGTAGGAGAAAACTATACTTCCGTTTCCTATTAGAATATCCTCTGATCATTATTCCATCTGTTGAAAGGGCCAAAGAGAAAGTCAGCTATATTTGACCTTATCAAATATTCATAATCATAATATGATCTCAAATAAAAATAGGATACATTTTGAAAATACAAAACATGATGGTCCAGTTCGATCCCTAAGTGTGATAAAGATGAAGTCTGTCCTCCACCACATCTCCAAGGCCACAGCTGCAGATCTTTGCAGGGGTTTGGTAAATTCCCTATCAGGTATTCTGTATCACAATATGATGACGGAATACTTATACGACTAGACAAATTGTGCCACTTAGGGTGGATATCCTAACTAGACACCCTGAACTCCAAAGCCATGGCTATCTTTTATTCCCTATGAATTTGTAAAACCAACCATACCAGCCTTTAGTTCAACTAAGTATCCCTCAAGCTCCCTTCAGTTGGTTCAACAAACACTTATCCAGAGCCTACTAGGTGCCAGTCACCACAGGGAACACAGGTGAACAAGACCCAGTTCCTGCTCCTGAAGAGCTTACAATCTGGTGATGCTTTCGTTCCTTAGTTCAAGAAAATGCACATAAACACAAACTTTCAGACTCCCAAGGCCCTTTCATTCAGAGAGTCTGAAGAGATCCATGAATCCCCAAATTAAGAATTCAATCCAGTGCAAAATAAACAAATAAAAAAGAGTCCAGAGCAAGTTCTTTACACATGAATAACTGTGTTATAATTAGACAATGATAGAATTTCATTACAGATATAAATCATCTCGCATCCATGGCTTACGAAAGGGTAGAGTGGGGAGACAGCAAAGTGGGTCTTAAAAAAAAAATATATGCTGACCTTGAGAAATACCTGAACTAAAATATCTGGTTTGTTAGTCCAATAGGTGTGCACTTCATATTCCAACCGGCAGTACAGCTGCTGGGACCTCAGTTTCTTATCTTAGTTAAAAGGAAAGTAGAGGAATAACAATTTTGAAACTATGAACAAAGAATAAAGAAGCAAGGCCAGATATCACTGTTCAGGGATCAGGGACTTCATTGATTTCCTAAATAGAAGGGAAGTTACTCATCATGGTCCTTGCCGCAGTGAGAAAAAGGAGAGAAAGGTGCACACGGGATAAGGGTGGTCTGAGTTTCTGTCTGTGGTTTTAAGTTACCTCTGCATCGTATCTGACCGCCGCAGAGAATAAGGAAAAGGCATTCTCCACGGTGATTCCTTGCTTGATAATGTGTTGACAAAGTTTTTTCAGTCTGTTTTCACAGTAAGATGTTGCCAAATCCAAAAGACCTAAAAGTTAAGTGTAGTAGTTTTAATAAAGTTTATGATAATTTCCCATAATTATATATATATATGTATATACTTTTAAAAAAAATTTATTTCATTTTGGTGCAGTTATGTAGGTAAATCAGCAGAAGTTTCTTAGTGAATAATATACTCTGAGTTTTATTAAGTTCTCTTTGTAACTCCCTACCTCCCCAACCCCCCAAACATACCTCTCCTATACTCACTTTATACAACTTCTTCTACGGTACAAAGGAAGGCAAAAAATGAAATTTCCCCCTCATTTTGTTTCTAAAATGATATGTTAAATCTATTATCAAGTTATACTTCAGTATTAAAAAATTAAAATAAGTCCAGCCATAAACTATGTGCATAATGGTTAACCATAACTATACAATATTATTTTTAAAGATATTTGCTTCAAATATTTTTTAAAAGCCAATAAACCTGAAACTTTTCATGTTTCAATACTATAAGAAGATGAGGAGCTATATTTCCGACCATGTGACCTGGCCAGTCCCAATGTGACTGAGGTACCTATGGCATCTTCAGGTGGCAGGTCCACTGTGTCTGTGTAGAGGAACTGGAGAAAGGCACGGTACACTGGGTAAGAAAACTGGTCAATTTCTATCACTTCTTTCATGTCCTCATTCCAGTAAGACTGGAACATGGACCGAAAGTGCTCACACCTAAAACAGAACAGCGGAAGTCAATTCGGGTGATGGAATCAGATAAGCAAATATTACAGTATCTTTAACTACTATAGTTGGGCTTTCACACACCAGGATTATGAATCTTTACCTAGCACCCTAAAAAAAATTCCATGTGAAAGAATTTTTATATTTGCCTTTTATGTACACTCACTTTCATTTTATTTAATCCTCACCCAAGGATATGTTTTTATTGATTTTTTGAGAGAGTGGAAGAGAGAAAGAAAAACATCAATGCTTTTTGAGAGAGAAACATTGATTGGTTGCCTCCTGTACACCCCCGACCAGGAATCAAACCCACAACCTAGGTATGTGTCCTGACCTGGAACTGAACCCACAACCTTTTGGTGTACAGGACAACGCTCCAACTGAGCCACCTGGCCAGGGCATCACTTTCATTTTTGATGAATATGTGCTATGAAATATTAAAAATTATATGTAGAGCCTAGGCGTACCTAGCACTTCTATAGTACTAATGTTTCCATTTGACGGTCCCCATTCATATCAAGACATCTTGCTCACTTGTTTTTTGAAAGATGCACAGAAATGCATTTTAAACAATGAAATTAAAGAAAATTCAAAAATAAGAATTCAAACATATCACTATAAAGTAACACATTTAAATGATTCATTTTGGGTTTTTTTGTTTTATATAATCAGCATATTCTTTTTTTCTTTTTAATTAAATTTATTGGGGTGACATGGATTAATAGAATCATATAGGTTTCAGGTGTGGGTTTCTATGTTACAAGATCTGTATATTGCTCTGTGTGCCCACCACCCAAATTCATACCTTCTCCGGTCACCATATATTAAGTTCCCCTTTAGACCCCACCCCNTTCATACCTTCTCCAGTCACCATATATTAAGTTCCCCTTTAGACCCCACCCCCTTCCCTCTGGCAACCACCACACTGCTATTTGTGTCCAGGAGTTTCAGTTTTATATCCACATATGAGTGAAATCATTTGGTCCTTAGCTTTTTCTGACTGACTTATATCACTTAGCATAATATTCTCAAGGTCCATCCATGTTGTTACGAATGGCAGTGTTTCATCCTTTCTCATGGCAGAGTAGTACTCCATTGTGTACATGCTCCACAGCTTCTTTATCCAGTCCTCTATCGCAGGACATTTTGGTTGTCTCCACGTCTTGGCCACCGTGAACAATACTGATCAGCATATTCTTAAAACTGTTCTAAATGTTAACTGGATCACAGTTAAAACTGATCATTGTTCCATTATCTTACATGACAATTTTCCTTCTCTTTCTGACTCATCTTCAAAATGGCCACCACTCCTATTTTGTTTCTTTGCTTTGCCCTGCCCCTTTCCTCTCCATCCAAGCCTGTTACCGATTTACTTATAAAACACATTCACTAGGATAGTCATGTAATTCAGGAAAACCCAAGTGAGTCTTTTTGTATTGTATTAACATGTACAAATTCACCTGTATGAGGAACTGATTTCTGAATACAGATTTTCTTAAAGTATAAAAACCTTATAGGTTTTAAAAAGTAATCTTTTTCATTCCTTTTAAAATGAGACACAGTATAAATAAACTCAAAATATTTTCAAAATCCATTCAGAATTCGAAAAGAATGGCTGCACTTACCTAAGAGATTACTCATCTGAGAAGTAAAAAGAAATGGTGTCTAAAGAAGGAATAATAGATAAAATGCATCAGAAAACTATACATGACAGGAATAGACTGGTTGTCCACAGGTTCACAGGCAGAAACATTTCCAGTGCCTTTTTTTTTTTTTTTTTACTTTTTTAACCATTATGACTATATTTATTGTGCCTAAAAGGCAAAGTGAGGGAGAAACCTCAAAAGGCAGAGGTGGGACAAAGTCTGGAGTTCCCTGTCAAAGACAGGAAGGTCTCTGCTGGACCCACCCCCCTGCAAGAGGAGGCTTTCAATAGATCATTCCCTTTGTTTCTCCCTTGGGCTTCTTGATCTTCTCAAAGTCCTTCGGATGATGTCATGTAACACAGCATAACTGTTCCGGACCTCCATGACTATCAGCAGTACGTCCCAGTCCTCTGCCTCATCCAGCTCACGCACCAGCTGCTGCTAATCACCCACATGGGGCTGCTGGGCTGCTTTGGTCACGGAATCACCCAATTCAGAGAAATATTTGGAGATCTGAGTGTGAAATCCTTCACAGCTTGGTGGGAAGGGCGGTCATCAGCTCAAATGCCTTTTCTTGGACAGCCACCCCAAAACTGTTTCCATCCTCAGTCCGAGGTATCTGCAGCTGCAACCAGGTGGTGACCAGGTTAAGCTGCTCAATGACATCCTTGATCTCGGGCTCCAAGCGCTGCAGGATCACAATCTTCTCATTGCAGTTCACTGGGCCACAGGGAGGACCTGTGTCTTCATCTTTTTCTTTTCATCCTTGTCTTCCTTCTCCTGCTGTTTCTTCCGTTTCTCCTTCTCTTTCTCCTTGACTGGATCAGGCACTTGGATGTCCAACAGGGCCTTCAGATTGCTCAGGTTGGCTTCATTGAGAGCTGGGTCCTTTAAAAGAAATCTTCTTGGGGAAACAGCTCCGAAGCAGGCTCTCCGTTTTGGTACAAAAGTCTTCATGGAACACATCTACCTTGGCTTGGGCTTCAGGCTGAACCCGAGTGTGACCGAGGCGGGGGAGGCTGGGGTCCTAGCGCTGCACAAGGAGCGAGGACAAGGCATGGGGAAGGGCTCCAGTTCATCTTTCAATTAATACTTTGGTGCAGATTTTATCCCTTAATGAATGACATACGGGATTTTCAATTCCCTTAAACATGTTTTTTTGTAAATAGGTTTTAAACTAAATTTACAAAAAGACTTGTAAGTGGCCAATTTAATTCTCAGAGGACTGTCTTTATGTGTCTCATTCTCTGTAAAGGCAGCCTCAGTGAGCAACAGTCCAAACAGTTAGTAATAAATGCAAAGTTCCCTCACATTTCTACAAAGAACTCCTGTCATATAGCTAAAGAACATTTCTTTAATTGGGAATTAGCTGGTCCTTGGGTAAGAAGACCAGCATTCTTACTATGAGTTTTCTGCTTGAGAAAAATGAATCTTTAATTAAGTGCAAAAGGGGGCATATATACACTTTTCCCTGACAATCTTTTGTGGGGTTTTTTGACCGTGTAAATAAGTTTTTTCATGGAAACAAGTATTCACAATATCCTTCATTTAAAAACAATATAGACAAATACTTATATTACTACATCATGCTTTTTCAAAAAGGAACATGTGTGCACATGCAAACACATGTGTGCATGCAAAACTCTTCAATAATGAGTGGATTGATAATTTCTGAAAAAATATTAAGTTGCTTCATTCACTCTACTGCCAAGGCTGTTTTGTATCAGTCCCCATTTTATGGAATACCAAAGGAACAGATATTGTAAAAAGAAAGTAAGGTTATTGATGTCGAAAGCTCATGCAAAAATACCTGATTTTCAAAACAGCTTTATGGACATGGATATATTTCCCATCAATTCGAAACTTTAGGTCAGCAGTTTCTGGACTGTCAAATTCTTTCTTCAGGGACTCTGCAACTGTTATAAAGTCTTCATGCTCTGAAGGCAACAAACATATTATTAATACATAAAGCTCAGGAAACATACTCAAGATTTAATAGACTTTAAAAAGATAATCATTAGCACGATGGATAATTCCATTTCATTTTTTTTCAAAAAAGTTCATGCCTTACTTGACAAATCAATTTCACAGTATTAAAATAAGTATCCTGAGTTTATAAACTACCAAAAAATACATATTTGGTAAGGCCAAATACTAGTATTACATACTAAGTTAGTCCTCAGACATGTATACTTTTTTTAAAAAAAGAAAAAGTTACAGGTAGTCCATGATTATATAACTACTTGTTCAAAACTTAAGTGATTCTCTTCTAGGCCTGAGAACTTAAGAATTTTCTGTGACTGGAACACTAAGAACACCTTTACCCCGCTTTGGGGTAGTTTCAAGGGGTTACTATATTCTACTCAAGGAGTCCCAACAAACAACTCACCATTAAGTGGTAACGCTAAGCAGTCATGTTCTTACGCAGAGAAACCCCTTTTCCTCGGTATATGGAATCTAAACATCCCTCTTAACCCTAAGAATTAATGTACAAACAATAATCTTTACACACTATCTTAAAACAGAGCAAATTTACTTACTAACAATGTATATACTCAAAGGGAAGAGTTTTACAAAAATGTGATCTCATTGCCTGGTGAGAAGAACTGCTGTTATGATTACAGGTAGATATAGGTAGATGTATTATTATGAAGAAAAGTAAAGGCACTTGTACAAATCCATGTAACATTTTCTTGTGCTTTATAGTCATGGACAAAGGAAAACAAGTAGGAGGCTAACAGGGAAATAAAAAAGTTCCAGAGACCCTCATCAGCACTGAACGAAGGAACTATATGGACAGAGACAGGTTGTGACTGCCCGCAAGATAAGAATGGTGACTCTATCAAAAAACTGAGCTGTCTCTCAGGAGCCTGGTGTTACCAGGGCAATTCTTAGAGGAGGGACAACTACTAAATCCTAGGCTGAAACCTAACAAATGAACTTATCCATGAGCTTTGTTATCATACTCTCCCAAGGAAATATCACTTGCCCAAGCCCTGTTAACTTAACCTAACACACACACAATGCAGAGCTCTCTTGGCTATGGGGGAAAGGTCAACAATGTCTCAAAAATCAGGCTTTTCCTGACCCTATAACCTAGATCACGGGTGAATAAAAGGAGGAAATAACTAAGATGGACAAAGTCCAGGACTCTACATTACTACCCCACCCACCCAAAAATCAGCTTCTTATCAGTGCCTCCACTTCTGCATGTAAATCGCTAAGGGTTGAAATAAGCCTTTCCTCCCCTTGGTTTCTGGCAACAAGTATAATCCTCCTTTCACAGACGAAACATTCTTCTAAGGTATGAATTCACCATCTGACTTTCTTCCTATCACTCAGCTGAGATAATAAACCGAGAGGAACAAAACACTTCTGACTTAATAGGTAGAGGGAAAGAAGTCATCTAAGAAATATATTCAATGACCACACTTTTTCCAGGCTTAACATTAAAATATGTTAGGATGTTCTGAAAAGGATGCCTTGTCAGATTCAGGATATTAAAATGCAAAAACCTGGTGAAGCGTTTTATAAATAGGTCCAGGTTAAGTAGCATATGGGAATCTGAAGATACGGACCGAATGCTTTGGCTGTGACACATATGTGTGATTATGGCCAAATAGTCCCATTCTGTGAACTAAATTTTTTTTTTTTTAAATAATCTTTATTGATTTCAGGGAGAGGAAAAGAGAGGGAGAGAGAGAGAGAGAGAGACAAACATCAATGATGAGACAGTCACTGATTGAGCCCACAACCCAGGCATGTGCCCTCACAGGGAATTGAACCCCGATCGCCTGGATCCTAGGCCAACGCTCAACCACTGAGCCACGACCGGCCAGGCTTTTTTGGGTTTTTTTAAAATCATTTTTTAAATTCTCAATTACAGTTGACATGCAATATTATATTAGTTTCAGGTGTACACCACAGTGATCAGACATTTTAAAACTTATTAAGTGATCATCCCAAAAAAATCTCATATCCATATAACATCACACATAGCCATCAGAATACTATTGACTACGTTCCCTATGCTGTATTTTACACCCCCATGACTACACTTATAACTACTAATTTGTTCTTCTAAATGCCTTCACCTTTTTCACCCATTCCCCCAACCCCCCTCCCATCAGGCAACCGTCGAAATGTTCTCTGTATCTATAAGTCTGTTTCTGGTCTGCTTGTTAGTTTGTTTTGACTTTTAGATTCAATTGCTGATAGATAGATATGTAGTTATTGTCATTTTATTGTTCATATTTTTTCCTTTTTTCTTCTTTTTCTTCTTCTTAAAGAAGACCCTTTAACATTTCATGTAGTACTGGTTTGGTGGTGGTGAACTCCTTTTGCTTTTTCTTGTCTGGGAAGCTCTTTATCTGACCTTCAATTGTAAATGATAGCTTTGCTGGGTAGAGTAATCTTGGTTGTAGATCCTTGCTTTTCATCACTTTGAATATTTTTTGCTACTCCCTTCTGGCGTGCAAAGTTTCCGTTGAGAAATCAGCTGACAGTCATGTGGGTGCTCCCTTGTATGTAACTAACTGCTTTCCTCTTGCTGCTTTTAAAATTCTCTGTCTTTAAACTTTGGCATTTTAATTATGATATGTCTTGGTGTGGGCCTCTTTGGGTTCATCTTGTTTGGGACTCTCTGCACTCCTAGAGTTGTAAGTCTATTTCTTTCACCAGGTAGGGGAAATTTTCTGTCATTTTTTCAAATCGGTTTTCAATTTCTTGCTCCCCCTCTTCTTCTTCCAGCACCCCCATGATGAGGATGTTGGTACACTTGAAGTTGTCCCAGAGGCTCCGTACACTTAACTTCATATTTTGGGATTCTTTTTTCTTTTTGCTATTCTAGGTGTTTTTTGCTTCCTCATATTCCAAATCACTGATTTGATTTTCGGCGTCCTCTACTCTACCTTTGATTCCCTGTAAGTTATTCTTCATTTCAGTTAGTGCAGCCTTCAATTCTGATTGGTCCTTTTTTCTGTTGTTAATGTTCTCACTAAGTTTTTTGAAGTTCTCACTAAGTTCCTTGAGCATCCTTATAACCATTGTTTTGAACTCTGTCTGATAGTTTCCTTGCTTCCATTTCATTTAGTTCTTTTTTTGGATATTTCTTCTGTTCTTTCATTTATGACATGTTTCTTTGTCTCTGCATTTTTGCTGCTTCCCTGTGTTTGTTTCTATTTGGTAGAGGTGATATGTCTCCTGGACTTGGTAGAGTAGCCTTGTGTAGTAGGTGTCCTGTAGGGCCCAGTGGCTCAGCCTCCCCTGTCACCTGAGCTGGGCACTCTAGGTGTGCTCCTGTGTGGGCTGTGTGCATTGTCCTGTTGTAGCTGAGCCTTGATTACTGTTGGCATCACTGGGAGGGATTGTCATCCAGGCCAATCAGCTGTGAGGATTAGCTGTCACTACAGCAGAAGAGCTGCTGTGCAGGAGCTAACTCTATGGAGCAGGACTTGCTTCAGTGGGGCTTTGGTGCCCGCCAAGTCTGCCTGTTGAGTGTGTCGCTCATGGATGTGGTAGGGTTATAATTTGGCATGGTCTGAAGCTGACCACCAGGTGCACTGGTTCTGGGGCCTCCCAGGAGGTGCAAAGTCAGCTACTGCCTGTGCTCTGCCTGGGGCCACCCAGCATGAGCTACAGAGTTATCTGCAGATAGCTGCTACTTGTGTTGTGCTTGGAGGTGCCCAGGAGAGGCCAAGCTGTGAACCAAGGCAGGCTGCTCCTTGTGCCGGGCCTGGGGCCACTTATCGAGAGGTACGGGGCATGCGGAGGCCAGCTACTGCTTGTTTGAGAGATTTTAGCAGTCTGAAGCCTGAGCCAGGGCAGGCCATTCATATGGAAAAGCCACTGGAAACAGCTTGGGTGGGCCTGTAAATTGGGTGGGGCGGGATCTCAAGGAATTACCAGGGTGGGGTGAACAGTGTGAACCAGGCTGATAGAGACTCAGATATGGAGCCTGCCTGTCAGCTCTATGGCAGGGAGGTCTCAGCAAAGGAAGAGAGACCTCTGCCTGCACTTCTGTCTGGGAGAAAGCTGCCTGCCTCCCTCTCCAGTTCTTGCCCTGATGCCAGACAATTTAGTTCCTCCTCACATGTCCCTGGATCCTTTCAAGCTCCTATCCCAGGGATGGAATTCAGAGGGAGTGAGTCCAAGTCGGTCTGTGCACTGGCACTTTAAGAAGAACTGCCTGGGACTCCAGCAGTCTCTGTGTCACTCAGCCACAATCCCTGCTGGTTTTTACAGCCTGTAGTTGTAGGGACTGTCTACCTGGCACTGGAACCCTAGGCTGAGGGGTCTGCTGTGGGGCTGGGAGCTCTTGCTCCTCTGGGGGCACCTCTGCAGCCAAGATATCCCTCTGAATTAAAAAATATAACCCATGGGTGTCAGACCAGCCAGTTCTGTGCCTCTGCCCCTCCTACCAGTCTCAGTGTGACTTCTTTAATTCTCTAGTTGTAGGACTTCCATTCAGCGAGATTTCAGATGGTTCTGAATGATGGTTGTTCCGTAGTTTGGTTGTAATTGTGATATGGTTGTGGGAGGAGGCAGGCACTGAGTTTACCTGCACTGCCATTTTGACCCTCCCCTCTTTTCTTTTCTTTTTTTTATTGAATTTACTAGGTGACATTAATTAACATTGTATGTTTCAGGTGTATAATTCTATAATACATCATCTGTATATTGTATTGTGTTCAGCACCCCACGTCAAGTTTCCTTTGATCACCATTTATGCCCCCTATGCCCTCTTCTACCTCCCCTCAAACCCTTTCTCTCTGGTAATCACCATACTGTTGTCTGTATCTATTTCTTTTGGGTTGTTGAGGGGGTTTTTTGTATTTTTTTAAGAGAATAGTTTAGAGATTTTTTTAATTTGAGAGACAGTGGAAGGGAGATGGAGAAAGAGAAACATGGATGTGAGAGTACAATACTGATCAGCTACCACCTGCATGCCCCCCACTGGGGATCAAGCCCACAACCTGGGCAAGTGCCCTTGACCAGGAATCAAACTGGCAACCTCCTGGTGCATGGGATGATGCCCAACCAAGCCACACCGGCCGGGACTTTATTTTATTTTTATTTTTTGCTTAATACCTTCATCTTTTTCACTCAGCCCAGAAAACCCCATCCCCTCTGACAGCTGTCAGTCTGTTCTCTACCTATGAGTCTGTCTCTCTTTTGTTAATTTCATTCATTAGATTCCACATGAGAAAAATGTGGTACTTGTCTTTCTCTGACTGGCTTATTTCGTTTAGCATACTGATCCACCTATGCTGTTGAAAAGGGTAAGATATCCTTCTTTTTTTTTTTCTACAGCTGAGTAGTATTTCATTGTGTAAATATACTAGAGCTTTTTTATCCATTTATCTACTGATGGGCACATGGGCTGTTTTCATATCTTGGCTATTGTAAATAATGCTTCAGGGAACATAGGGGTGCATATATTCTTCCTGATTGGCGTTTCAGGATTCTTAGGATATAGTCCTGGAAGTGGGATCACTGGGTCAAAAGGCAGTCCATTTTTAATTTTTTCAGGAAACTCCATACTGTTTTCCACAGTGGCAGCACCAGTCTGCATTCCCACCAGCAGTGTACTGGGGTTCCCTTTTCTCCACATTCTTGCCAGCACCTGTTGTTTGTTGATGGTAGCCATTCTGGCAGGTATGAAGTTATACCTCATTGTAATTTTAATTTGCATTTCTCTGATGATCAGTGACGTTGAGCATTTTTTCATGTATCTTGGCCATCTGTATGTCCTCTATGGAGAAGTGTCTATCCAGGTCCTTTTCCCATTTCTTAATTGGGTTGTCTTCCTGGTGTTGAGTTGTATAAGTTCTTTATAAATTTTGAATATTAATCCCTTATCGGACATATCACTGGTGAATATGTTCTACCATTCAGTGTTGTCTTTTCATTTTGTTGATGGTTTCCTCTGCTGTGCAAAAGCTTTTCAGTTTGATGTAGTCCCATTTGTTTATTTTTATTTTGATTCCCTTGCCTGAGGCAATAAATCAGAAAAATATTGCTACAAGAAATGTCTGAGATTTTACTGCTTATGTTTTCTTCTAGGATTTTTATGGTGAACTAAATTTTTTTAAACACAATATTCACTGTAAAAAAAATTGTTGTATTATAAAATATCTGAAAATATTCAATTTGTTTCACTTTAAGTTGAGCAGCAGCTTAACTCTTCCTAAATATATGCTTGACTGCAAGACCATAAAGATTGTTCACCTGATGATGGGACAGCTCTAGCTGTCTTACATAGCTCCGCATGATATGTATTACAAGACTAGCCTTCAGTATCAATTGCTGAGCAGCCTAAACTCCTTGGCTGTCAAGAGCTACATTAATTTTCAAACACGAGGCATCATGACCTATTTATTTCCTCTTCATATTAACAAAAGAATAACTTAGAAGAAATACATTGGCAAAAAAGGGAGACATTAACAATAAACAAAATAAAAAGATTGAAATCTCTTTTAATGGCTACTCAGCTTTATGCCATCTTAATACTTTCAATCAATAATGAACTCTTGAAGAAAACAATATTCAGAATATGGACATATTATGTAACCAAAAATCACCCTGAATTCAACGACCCTTTATAATACCACTGTTTTGATGCCCTTCTAAAATAAAAGTATTTGAGATTGGTTGAAAGAAAAAGAGAGAAAGAAAATAAGGGTAACACATCACCTTAAAAACCACATGTTCTTCAGTTTCTTTAAAATTCATTTTGGTTCATTAATTATATTGAATTATATAATAAATCTAGTATAACAGCAAAAGCACTTAAGAACAGGTTACTCAAACAAATATTTGTACATGAATATACATAACAGCATTAGTCACAATACTCAAAAGATGGAAACTATCTAAATACCCATCAACAGAAAAATGGATAAATGAAATGTGGTATTTACATACAGTGGAATATTATTCAGCTATAAAAAGGAATGAAGTACTGATACATACTACATGAATGGGCCTCAAAAGCACTGAGTAAAAGAAGCCAGACATAAAATGTTACATACTGTATTATGCTATTTATATGAAATATCCAAACTAAGTAAATGCATAAAATAAAAATCAGATTGGCCAGTGGCTAGGGGGAAAGGGAAATAGAGAGTGACTACTTAATAGGTATAGGGTTTTCTTTTAAGATAATGAAACTATTTTAGAACTTGATATCTTGGTGGCTGCATGACACTGTGTCTGAATTGTACACTTTAAAATGGTTAATTTTATGTATATGAATTTCACCTCAATTAAAATGAAAGCACTTAAGGGGAGAAAATAATCCATATAATGTTTTATAACATAATAACAAAGTTTATTATGCAAATCTAATTTGGGGAAAGATAGTAAATTTAATGAAAAATAAAACATTCTAGAATGTTTAAAAAAGCACACAACCAGGAAATATGCAGGAAAACAGGTAAGCTGATAGGACCATTCTTCCTGGGTAGAAGCAGCCCTGAGCTTTCTTACCTACAGATAGGAGACGCCAGGAGACAGCAGGAGTGGCAAAGCAGGCAAACACATCGTCCGTGCAGGAGAGGTGGGTGAGGTGAGGCAGAACCACTGACTGGCCCCGGCACTGGCCCCACATGTACACATGCCCGCCCTGGGTTTTGGCAGCAGATGTATGGGCAGAGTGGCAGGCTGCAATCTCTACTACCCTGAAAATTTTAAAGAAAAATGGATGTGTCACTTCTATATTACAGAAGCCCACAACACATCACACAAGGTAAACAAAAAGTTCATGCTTGGAACACCTCAAAAAATGGCTCAAGGTCAAAAGACATTAGCTATCATGTCCTATAGACAAAACCAAAAGACTGGAGGAAGAGTACTGTGTTTCCCTCTTTCTGGGTGCCCCACTTCTCATTCTAACCTCTTTCTAAGATAAATAATACATAACTGTTGAGGAAAACTTGGAAAAAAGAAATAGAAACCAAAATAAATAAGAAAAGTGGACTCTGGCAAAATGTCCTGACAGTTATAGGGGCTTAAACCATAGCAAAAAAATTACTGTCTTCAATGTATGATTTTCTTACAAATACAACTTTTTCTCTCACCCACTACCAGACCTCATAACACTCATTAGGCTGATAAACCCTGGTCTAGGGGTCATGAACTCTGAACACCCCAACCCAAATGGACATCAAGCCGAAGTTACTATACTTCTCAGCCTGCTTCTTAGGCAGAGTGCCAGAATCAGAAGTCAACATTCTAAAACGTAGTAGGTTAGACCTCACAATTTGGCTGAATAAACATTAAGCATCTATTCCAGTAACACACATTATATCAAATCACCATTTAAATATATAATGTCCTTTCAAGGATAGATTTTACTTATTTAAAAGTTGTTTCAGTTGGCTCAAAGGAAAAGTTTGTACTTCAGCATGGTGACAGATCCTATTTCACTTTGAATTTCAACATGGTGACAGACCCTATTTTATTTCCCCATTAAATGGGCAACAAGAAGTCTGTAGGAATTATACCAGGGCGCATTAATGCCTGTCACTCAGGAAGTTATTTTAGAAAGCTGCACAAGAATCACATCAACTTCATGTTCATTCTAGTTGGTACTTAAACTCTTTGTTCAAAATGAGAATGTTAATAAACAGAAGAGTTACAAAGCCAAACACTACAGCTCCAGCACACACAGTCCCAAGACCACAATGCATACACGATCCCAAGACACAGTACAGCCAAGTTACCTCTCTTTCTCCACCATGATGTGCGCTGGACTTAGCAGGTTATTTTTATTGCCAGTTCCCAGCTGCCCATACGTGTTAGCTCCCCAGGCATAGAGCAAGCCCTCATCTGTTAGTGCTAGAGTGTGTGCATAGCCGCAGACAATCTGCAAGTAAATTTAAATGGTTACCATAAACAGGAAAACAGGAAGGACAGGGAAAACATCTACTTAAAGATTACAGCCAGCTTCTACAGAATGCCAATTCATCACCAGGTGTGGGCTAACATTCTCTGAAATATTAAAAGAGCATTAGAAAAGCCTAAACCTGAGACTACTGAATTTTTCCAATCACTTTTTTTACTTGTCAAGACTGATATGCCACCACCATGGTGTTCCTTCCCATCATCAGAATTTAGTGAGGATATAATATTAAATGTGGAAGATGCAGGCACAGGATATTATTTGAAAAGATTTATTGAACAGTAAATTTCCAATATTCCTACAAGTCAGAGCAGGGAAGACAGATGTAGACTAGCAGCCAAGAGTCCACCACACGTACCTGGTTCACACACACGCTGTGCAAAGCTGCCACTCTCACAGGGGTGAGCTGATTGACATTGTTTCCCAAGCCCAGCTGACCATTGCCATTGTAACCCCAGCCATACACCTTAGAGAGAAAAAGGGAGAGAATGGGCTTTTAAAAGTGCTAGTAAGAGGGAATAGATAAACAAATAGGTTATACTTTTTTCACTTCCAACATCCCTATTCTACTCTAGGTGATCCTACACTGATCTCCAAATAGATGATTTAAGGGTGGGAAATGAACAGAATTTGGCATCAGTTCCTACTCCATAACTTACTAGTTGGATAACCTTGGGCAAGACACTAAACCTCTTTTCACACATGAGGAAGCTGAGGCTCATTAACAATTATTAAACACCTACCTTATGTCAGGACACTGTGAAAGGTACTAGGAATGTGTCTTTAATCACATTTTAACAAAGGGGATGAATTTTCTGCAAATTTTCTGCAGCGGAGTGGCAACTGCTATAACAGATAACAAAGGCATTGTAGGAGCAGAGAGGAGAAGGGATTTATTTACAGAAACAAAGTTAAGGAAAGACTTTTCAGAAAGTGGAGATCTGGGCAGGGCTGAATGATGGATGAGGGAGAAGGCACTCCAGGTAGAAGGGAACAGAATGTGTTAGTGGCAGGTTCAGAAGACAGGTAGATGGGCCTGGCTGGACACATATGGGATAGTGGAAGGAGAAGAGACTAGAAGGAAAAGTAAGGGCCAAGGGGGTAAAGTGCCAAAACACATACCAGGGGAAATGGAATGCTTCTATGGGGCTTTCACTGAAATATTTCAAAATAACATGCTTAAATTTTCATTTTGGAAAGATCATACTAGTTGCAACATGAAGGGTTACTGGAGTGTGTACAAGGAGCAGGAAGACTGTTCAGTAGATAAATTTGTCTCTCACTGGCAAGTAAGCTGTGATTAGGGTCCAAACCAACACATGGCAGTGGGAATGGATAGGAAATACGTTAAAGAGGGAGATGTGATAGAATGTGGGTGATCCCTTAAGAGATCTGGAGCTAGAGGGGAGTCATCAGCTGAAAGTAGCAGGGCTAGGCATAGGTTTGACAGGAATGTTAAAAGTTTAGAATAGCCAGTGTGGGATACAGGAAAAACTAATGACCAGGAACAATAAAAGGTCTGGCTCAAATGAAACCCAAGATGTGTGGTGACACCATACCCCATGGCAATATGGGGCAAATAAGAGTTGGCTGGGCTTTTTTTTTTTCTTTAACCCTCACCAAGGACATGCTTTTGATATTAGAGAGAGGGGAGGGAGAGAGAGAAACATCGATGGGAGAGAGAATCATCGATCTGTTGCCTTCCCATATGCACCATGACTGGGAATCAAACGCGCAACCTAGGCATGTGCCCTGACTGGGAATCAAACCCGCAAGCTTTGGGTGTACAGGACAATGCTCCAACCAACTGAGCCATACCAGCCAGGGTGGCAGCAGCTTTTCAGGGCAATGTGACACAGGGGAAAGGTAGACATGGACTTTTAGAGATTAGTAACAGATGGTTAAAAAGCATTTTCAATACCAGAAGTGCAATAGGTCTGAACTTTCTGGAGAGAAATGTGACAACAAACATCAAAATTTTTAATGATATACTCACTGACCCAGAAATCCCATTTCTGAGAATTTATTCTACAGAAATCCTTGCCTAAGTGTACAAAGATACACACACACAAAGAGTAACACAGAAAATCAGCACAACATTGTTTATAATAACAAAATATTAGAAACAATTGTCTATCAGTAGAGCTCTGGATGTGGATCATCCATATGAGGAAGACAAAGCAGTCATTAGTATATAAAAAACAGCTACAAATGGTCCGAGAATAGATTTAGGTAAAACACATGTTATTAAACAGGAAGTTACAGAATAGCAGAAAAAATTGTAGGTATAATAATCCCATTTTTTAAAAAAGGTAATTATATTCACCCATATATAATTGTTTATAGAGAAAAGTCCAAAAGGATATACATCAAACTATTAACAAGATTGGAGAAAAGGTAGTCACTTTTTACTTCATATGTTTTATTTGTTTTCCTTTGCTAAAATAACCACATAATAATCTTAAATTAAATTAATTTTTTAAAATAAAAGGGAAGTGAAGTATGCTAGAATGCAGGATGTCATATGACTATTCCAAGGAATTCTGAAGTCATCCAGGATATCAGGATTGGTTCCAAAAATAAATTAACACAGGTGAGCACTCCAGCACCCAAGGCATGATTACATACGTGTGTGCCCAAAGATGTATCTTTGGATAATTTTTGTGTACTAAGACATGCAGAGGTGGGGACAGGTCCATTTAAGTAAAAGTTGCAAGCAGAATAATTTTCTAAAAATAACCATTCATTGAAAGATGACCATGACAGAAGGTCACTGAAAGGTGGGTTTTTAAAAGTAGCTAACAGCAATCAGGACCAAAAAAATCTGCTTTTGTAAGTTGCTTCTTCCTGTGAACAAACATTCCAGATACAGGCAGGCAGTTCTACAGGGACATCATGCCCACTGGAGTCATCGACTGCCTATAAACATCACCAGGTAACTTAAAAAAGTTCACAGTTGATTTTTGCATTGGAAGAATGAGGTACATAAAATTTTTTAACCTGTTAATTAAGTCACAAATACTCTTATAAGGATTAAGCTACTTGGATCTTCCACAAAAATAAAATTTAGACACATTAGAATCTTTACTTACAGATAAATCTTGAAATTTAAAAATTCTCACTGAGGCCCTGGCTAGTGTGGCTCAGTAGGCTGGAGCATTGTCCCATACACCAAAAGGTGGTAGGTTCGATTCCCAGTCAGGGCACATACCCAGGTTGTGGGTTTGATCCCTGGTTGGGGATCACGTACAGGAGGCAACCAATCAATATTTCTCTCTCACATCAATGTTTCTCTCTCTTTCCTTCTCTCTCTCCCTCTCTTTAAAATCAATTTTTTAAAAATTCACACTGAGGAGCAAACATTCTCTGGTGACTCCGCAGTCAGTAACCAGTTAACTATCAATGGGGCTATCAAAACAAAGCAGTCTTTCTTCCACGATCTAATACAGGCACCTCATGGGAAAAAAGAGACATTTCATTAAAAGAGGAGGTGGGAGGAGAAAGAGGAATGCAGAGATAGCTCACCTCACCACTGTCCAGAACAGCCATGGATGAGGTCTGACCACAGGCAATGCCTACCACTCTCTTAATATGTAAACAGTTTGTAACTTTTCGAGGAGTTGGTTGATTTGCTGTAGATCCTGATCCCACCTGGCCACAGTTGTTATAGCCCCAAGCAAATACCTACACAAGAGAAGGCGGGGAAAAGAAATCGTGGTAAGGGAGAAAGTTCTATGTCTAACTACAATAATAATCATAAATAAAAATAAACCCACGTAGCACAGTATTTACAATGTGCTAAATGGCTCTGCATGCTTTATCGCATTAACCTCCTCAATCATCATAGTAATATTGTAGGGTGACTCTGGGGTAGACACTATTATTGTCCCCATTTTATATATGGAAATGGAAACACAGAGAGGTTAAGTGACCTGCTTGAGGTTCTACAGTTAGTAAGTAGTAGAAGTGGCATTTGAACCCAACACAGTCCAGCTATGCTCCTCACCGCTATGCTGTATTGCCTCTATAATTATGGCAGCTATATATGTTTTTTAATCTGACGTCAATTAAAAATGAAGTATATGCTACATAAGTATCAGTGACATGAAAAAATCTGCTTAACTTTTTGGCCATAATTTTGTTTTTTTATGGAACCTTTCAAAATCATACTATGCTTTTCCCCCGTCCAATACCGGACATTCAACACCTTTCTCGAGGACTCAGGACCATCATGATTATAATTATGAATCATAGTGCCACGTCATAACACAGTAATGCTCACAAGTACTACAGAGATATTTGTCCCTACAAAAATGATGCCAGGCTGTTAGTCTGTTCTTGGTAATATTTTCTCTTAGTTTTCATCTGCTGTCTGCCAGCTCCAAGCAGCTCCCCCTCCTCAACTGCATCCTTATTACTTTTGGCCTATGATCTGCCATAACCTGAACACCAGATTTCTAAGGTAGAGAGACACAAATAGACCTCTAAGCTAGTTAAAATCTAGTAACAAAGATGAAAAATAACCAAAACATCACTTCAGGTTAATTACCAAAACTGATTTTATCAAACAGGAGTGTGATCAGAGAGGAGAATTAGGGAAGGGGAATGTTGGTAGTAAAGGAAATAACCTACACTAGGAGAACACTTCCTGAAAGTAGATTCACAGGAATATCTAGTATAATAATGCAAATATTTAGCACAATTATCCAAAGTAACATGCTTAAGGTGAAATTTACCCGGTATCTAAACTGTACAGATTAGTAAGTTTTAATTTCAACGATCATTCTTCTGGCACTTCTCAAATATCCCAGTTCCCTTGCAGTGCAGCTGCCTTTTACAGTGGTACCTCGGTTTTCGAATGTAAAATCACTGTAACACCATCGAAGGACTTTAAACAGGGGACAATATGATCTGATTTGTGTTTTGGATATCACAGGAAGTGGAGAAGTAATACTGGACAGGTAGACCAAAGAAAAAGCTGTGGAATAAAAGAGATCATAGCAATAGTCCAGGCAGATGACAACACCTGGCCTAAGGTTATGGAGATGGAGAGGAACAAAATGATATGAGATTAGAAAGTAGAATCAACAGGATGAGTAACCTCTAAGATAAGCATGGAACTTGTGGGGTGAACAAGTGGTACAGTTCCCTAGAATGTTGGTAAAGTTATTTTCTATGGCATCATTACATTTACTGAAAAACAAAATAGACTTTAAGGGATGGGGCCATTAAAAAAAAAGTACAGAACACTGTCATACACATCTAATTACTATAGTCTTAGTAAATAGCACAAGACTCAACAGCTTTAAGACTGAAGTCTACCATCATCAAAAGAGTGTTTCTGATCACATAACATAGGATGTGTTAGAAAAAGAGTGTGTTCCTACAATGCTTTTAGCTATACACACAGGGTTATGACATTCACACTATACCAAGTACAATATGGTCATTATTTTATTGGCACTTCCACAATAGTTAAAAGGTAGAAACAACCCAAATATCCATCGACAGATAAATGAATAAACAAAATGTGGCATATATATACAGTGGAATATTATTTAGCCTTAAAAAGGCTAAATGAATAACCCTTGAAGACATTATGCTAAGTGAAATAAGGTAGTCGCAAAAGGATAAATACTGTATGCTTCACCTCATATGAGGCACTTAGAATAGTCCAATTTATAGATACAGAAAGTGATTGCTGGGGGGGAGGGGAAGAGGAATTAGAGGATTAATGTTTAATGGGTACAAAGTTTCAGTTTGGCAAGATGAAAAGAGTTCTGTGGATGAAAGGTGGTGATGGTTATACAACAACTGGAGTGTAGTTAATGACACTGAACTGTACACTTATAATGGTTAAGACAGTAAATTTTATATTATGTGTATTTTACCACAACTTAAAAATAAAGAACAAAAGCAAGGCACTTACCTCTCCATCAGCTGCCAAAGCCACTGAATGATGTGAGCCACAAGCTACTTCAACCACTTGCTTGATCAAGAGATTGGTACAGACTTGGATGGGAGCAATGCCTTGGTTGGTTGTCCCATTCCCAAGCTGGCTATATCCATTATGGCCCCAGGCGTAAACAACTCCATCTATACAAGATAGCCATACACAAAAAATCAGCTCTGAGAAGAAAGGGTACCCCTGTACTTTCTTCCCCAAATTCTGCACAACTCATTCTCCAGCCTTAATTTCTTTCACATTGCCCTTCCTCCCTATGAAGTAACCACTGATGAGGGGTAGGGAAAAGAGGGATGGATGAGAAAACAGGATAGACAAATGCAAAACTGTGAAAGAAAGGACTTGGTACTAACATAGAAAGAAGATCAGCTTTGTGGTCAGAAGTCAGCTTACATATACAAACATTAGACCTTCTAAACACTTTGAATCATCTCAATAGTTTCTGTGTCAGGTATATCAAGCAAAAGGGAAGACACAGGGAAGTTCAATACTAATCTTTACCATCATTTTACCAAATACCAAGCTCAGGGGCCTGTTGGGGGTATGTGTGTGTGTCACTCACAAAATACAGAGGAAAGAGGTATACTACTTGCGAGAGTTAAGAGGTGTACTTTTTGTATATACTATATATAAAAATCACAGGGCTTCTTTTAAACAGACTAGTGGCGTAAAATATGACTGAATTTTTTTTTATGACTTTATCTTTTTGGGATTCTGATAGAGGTCACTTTTCTGTTCTGTGTCCTCTCTGGAAGTATCACTGTTCCATGCATTTCCTCCCACAGCATGCTGAGTATCAAGAGCAGATACACCAGAGTTACATACTTTTCTCATGTCTTTCCCATGGTAATAAAACATCCTGACTTTTTAAGGAAAATCTATGTTTGGCAACAACACTATCCAAGAGAGAAAGCAGAAATCCAAGTGTTATCGTCGGGCTGCTGATTCACTGACAACAGTCCCCAAGCAATCAGGGACAGGTACTCATACTTAAGTAGGTTTCTGATGATCTACTCTAGAGTAACTATAACAACCCAACAAAATCAGGGTTCTCTTCCAGGTAGTATAAGCCAGATCTAGAGAACTTCTGATGCGTGTACCACAAGAGTTTTTCCCTATTATAGAAACTGTGACAGAAACCACAAATGGGAAATTTTATACCAAGAAGGATAAGGCTGAAGACTGAAAAAAAGAGTATAAAAGCTAAAAAACAACCCATGATACATTAAAGTTATATCAAGTGATAAGGAATGTCCAAACTTCTGAGTGTTTTAACCCCTAAAAGACAAAATAATAGATGTGAACAGATAAAAATAAGATACCTTGTTCTTGGACAGTAAAACTCAATACCATAAAGATACTAGTTTTTCCTTTGTAAACTTAAAAAATGTAAAATAATGTTAGTAAAATGCTTCAAGTTACTTTCTGAAGCTAGAAAAATTGATTACAAAGTTCAATGGAAAGAACAAACAAGAATAGAAAAACCTTTTTAAAAAGCAGCAAGAAGATAGGTAGCTCCATCAGTTATTAAACCTATAAAAATTTTATAGAACTAAAATTAATACTAGGACATAGACAGACCAACCAATGGAATGGAATTCAAAGTCTAGAAATAAACCAATTGTATATGGAAATAAAAGCTATATTATTTGGGGGGGAATGAATTTTTTACAAGTTGGGTGTACACACTTGGACAGTCATATTGAAAAATTAGACTCATTTCTCATACCATGTACCAAACCTATAAATCAGAAATTTAAATGTAAAAAAAAAAATCATACAAGAACTAGAAGGAAAAAATTAGTAAACTCCTCCATAACCTGGAAATAGGGAAAACTTTCCTATAATAAAAAACCAGAAGCAATAAAAAGAATGATGAATCTAGTTATATTTTTGAAAAAACTTTACATGGAAATAAACACCATAAGTAAAGAAAAAAATCAATATTGGGGAAAAAACATTTGCAATTTATATTACTAAAAGATAATCTCTAACATAAAAAGTGTCTCTAAAATTACAAAAGAAAACAACCAAGAACCATATAGAAAAATGAACTGATGGTTCACAAGGAAAGAAATGTAAGTGGGTCTTAACTATATGAAATGATGCTCAACTTCACTCATTAGGAGAAAAATGCAAATAACAGAAGACCGGACTCTACTAACCAAGACTGACCTACCTACTGCCATTGCTGAAGGCCAACTATGCCAGTAACAGAACCAATGCAAAGCTCCTGATACAGCACCACCCCTCAAGGAGACCAACTAGCTATTGGAAGCAAGATGGCTCCATTCCATCCTGGAAGAAGCAGCCATTCATATTGACAGGAATCAACATATAGCCCAGATATGGGTTTCCTGCACACAGGGCTTCAGCCAGCAGCACTGTCTGAGGGCTTATGGAATATTTAAACCACTGACATAGGATCCCAACAAAACATCTCATCAGACCAAGGAACTCACTTTATAGCAAAAGAGGTGCAGCAGTGCTCACTGCCCCTATCAGATACTGCAGCATCCAAAAGCTGCCTGCTGGAGACAGCAATGACAAGCTGGCTTGGCACCCATGTGACACTTGGTAGTCTTTTGGTGTATACTTGCCCAATAGTGACAGTAAACAAAAATGTGCAGCAGCCATGGCCAGAGTACAGCATGGTCAGGGGCTGGTACTCCTTAGAGATGAGTCTGGGTCACACAATCACGTGAGCCACCCATGCCAGGTGCTAGATAATCTGTGAAGATAATCCAGAAGAGGTTGTAGAGGAAGAATGCAATGAGATCAGTTGTGGCCAGGAGACCAACTGCAGTGCAGAGGCTGTACTATATCCCAGTAAAGATGTTTTCCCTAGGAAAAGAGGCCCACCAGAATCCTGAAGGAGGGGCAGCACATGACAGAGACCTAGCGAATGCTGTGCTGTATCACACAGGTGCACCTCAGGATTGAGGACTTACTCCCCAGGTGTTGATAGTACTACTGTAAGTCCTCTCCAGATCTGCCCTTGGCAATTACTTTCCTGTTAACACATTATTTTATTCTTTAAAATACTATACATACATCTTTCTTCCCTTTTTACTTAATGAAGCATAGGAAAAGTTAACTCCTTCATGAGATGGCTCTTAGTCCCAATTTCTGGGAAGGCTTCAAAGCAACCAAATCTAACTGAATGCCAGCATCCACTTGCCACACTGCCTCTAATAGACCAAGGATGAAGCTCCAGGATCACTTGAGGATGAAGAGATGAGCAAATTTACCCAAGAATGTGACAGTGATGGGAGAGTGGGGAGTGAGGAAGGGAGAGAGTAGAAGGAGGCAAAGAAGCATCCCACGCATCTCTGACCTTCAAGAAAACTCAGTGTAGCCTTCACAGGCTGGACACTGAGTTGGAGAAGTGACCAGAAAAAATTAATTTTATAAGTAAACTAATTTAATGTTGCTTCAGAAGACAAAAAAAAATCCACAAGCCCTAGGTCTATATGTGAAGTAATGATACCAAATGAATACTGATTCAGAGCTGTCACCAGGTGGGACTATATGTTCAATTTAATAACACAGCATTATTCAAAATATTCCTAAAACGCCATTTAGAAATACCACATAGGCGGATAAAGAATGGAGAACTGCTGGGGGGGAAGGGCAGATGCAAGGCGGAGGGAATCAATGGGGGGGAAAAGGGACATTTGCAATACCTTCAACAATAAAGGTAATTTTTTTAAAAAAAGAATGGAGAACTGAATACATGTTTTCATCTTCAGTCGCTCCTCAAATCCTACTAAAGGCATAAATACTCAAGGATAAGAACAACAGAGAAGAAAATACAACAGGAGACATGTCAACAAAACTTTGGGAACTGGAAAGCAGATGGTTGTTATAAGTAGCAGAGCAGACCAGAGAAGGTGACACCTACATCATCAAAAGGAACAGCCAATTCCAGCCCAAAATCTCACAAAGGCCCAGGGACCACAGGAGATACAAGGGCAGGGTGCAACTGAAAACAGAAGCAGTTAGACCCCAAATCCTCAGCCTCTTCCTGTGGGGTCAGGCAACTACCCCTCCCCAACCCTGGAAAAAGACAAGAGACTTACAGCATTACTTACTGTGAATTTTTTTTAAATATATATATTTTTTATTGATTTCAAGGAGAGGAAGGGAGAAGGAGAGATAGAAACATTAGTGATGAGAATCATTGATTGACTGCCTCCTGCACACCCCCTACTGGGGATCGAGCCCACAACCCAGGCATGTACCCTGACCAGGAGTTGAACCATGACCTCCTGGTTCATAGGTTGACACTCAACCACTGAGCAACGCCAGCCAGCATGCTATGAATTTCTTACAGTAACAGCACTTTAGCCCAACTTTTCCCTTTGCCCAAACCTACTTCCTGCCATTCCCCCACATAACACAACAAAGAAAATAAGACTGAGGGCTCTGGGAAAATAAACTAGAGAGGCTCTGAAGGCAGCATCGATTGGTTGCCTCCNAAAATAATCTAGAGAGGCTCTGAAGGCAGCATCGATTGGTTGCCTCCTGGATGCACCCTGACCGGGGATCAAATCTGCAACTTAGTAATGTGCCCTGACCAGGAACTGAACCCACAACTTTTAGTGTAGATGACAATGCTTCAACTGAGCCACCTGGCGAGGGAAGATCAACAAACTTTTAAAGAAAGCCTCTAACTTACAAGTCAGAGACCAAAACAAACAAAAAGAAACAAGAAACTAGGGAGGTAAAAAAAAGAAACAATGAGGAGAATAGAAAATAATTTTTAAATAATCTATAATTAGTACAGCCTCAAAGAAAAGATACTGAATCCATGAAACAAGAACAGGAGGCTCTAGAAAAGAACATTTATAGAACAAGAAAGAGAAACTGGAAATGTAACAGCAGAAATATTAAAATTTGACAATGTTAAAATCTGTAAGATAAGTTGAAAAAATTTCCTCAAAAATAGATCTAGAATCTTTCTAAGAAAAATTCCAGAAAGACGAGAACAGAGAAATCAAAGAAGGGAAATTGTCCATGAAATATTACAAGAATTTTTTCTAGAAATGAAGCAATTTCCAGACTGGGGGACCAGTAGAATGGCGATATAATAAATTAAAAACTATCCCCACCAGAGTTTATAACCATGGTTATTTCAGAACACTCAGAATAAAGAAAAGATCCTTACAGCTTCCAAAGAGGGAAAAAAGTCTTGTGCAAAATAGCAAAAGTCAGAATGGCATCAGATTCTCAAGAGCAACCCTTGAAACTTGAAAGGTGCAATGACTTCAAAATTCTGAGGAAACATGATTTCCAATTAGGAATTCTAAGCCCCATCAAACCATTGCTCAATTGCAAGGATAAAATAAAGACATTTTAAGACAGGAACTCAAAGATTTCTCTCACACCCCTTTCCTTGGGAAGCTACTAGAGAGTGTGTTCACCCAAATGGGAGTATAATCCAAGGAGGATTATAGGACACAAAGAATAGGAGATTCAGAGAGGACAAAGGTAAGGAGGCTTCCAAGGTTAATGGTGAAATGAAGTTCTAGGCTGACAGCTGTGCAGTAGGTCTAGAGTGACAGTCCAGGCTGCATCAGGGAGACAGAGGGCTCCAGAGATGACCTGATATGCTCAGATGTACTGTGAGGCAATACTGCTCTGTGTAAGAGTTTGGGCATGTAAATGAACCCCAGGAAAACAAACAGTTGTATAAGAAAGGAGGTGAGCTTAGGTATAAATAATATTTATAGAGTTCAAATGCTGTAAACACTGAACACTGACTTCACCAAAATGACGATATCACTATATTGAAACGATAAGTGGAGGGAGGGAAGGCAGGGGAAAGAGAGCTAAATTCTATCTGCCATTATAAAAGTCAAAGGATAATATCTAAAATTAAAAATTTAGAAATAGCAGTATGTTAACTTAAAAATATGAAATTAAATATCAGAAGAAACATGTGAAAGGGTTAAAAGTATTCCTTCAGAAGAGCAGTTTCTAAGAGTGAAGAGGGGTAAGACAGAGGTCCTTCTGCTTTTTACAAAAAGCCATAAACTATTTGATGATTTAGTGTTAAATTGTTTTAAAACTGTATGATTGTCAACATACAATACACACGAATATATGTATTCACATAGGCAGATACATAACACAAAGCATGTTTAATGCATATTGTGTAAAATGTATTATAATGATCAAAACTGAATTAAAAAATGAAAAATATTCCCACAAGAAAATCATATATTTATATTTTTATGTTTATTGTTGTTTATATCTATATCTCAATTGTAACATTCAAGATAGTTAAAACTGTATGATCTAGACACTGAAACTAATTCCAAAATTAGAGTTATAATTTCCTAAAGCCACCACTTTGAAGAAAACCAAAAATGTGAATGTATATGTCTTAGTATACATATACATTCTAAAAAAACTGCCTGAGGAATTTACGGTGAGAAACCGATATGTGTTAGGAAAAAATGAAATCATTAGGTCACAATGGATGACAGGCTGAACCAGTTAGCAAACTTGTAACTGCTTGAAAGAGCCAGTGTGATGCTAGAAGGCACGATTACATAACGCAGAAGTGAGATAATCACCTCATTGTGCTCAACACTAGTTATACTCTTACTAAGCAGTCATGCTCAGATCTAAATCTCACAGCTTGAGAAAGATGCAGACAAGTTGGAGTGGACTCAGGCATGAGTTAAAAGCAATGAAAAAGCTCAGTACAAAGAAGACCAATGGCAACATCCAAGGAAGTTCCTAGTCTGGAGACAAAAAGGTAGGCAAGCAAACTGTCCCCCAAATGCAACCCTATAGGATCACCCAACAAAAAGCTGAGGACCTCTGTGAGAGAGAATGAGAGAGAGACACACAGAGAGAGAGACAGACAGAGAGAGAGAGGAAGAGCGGTAATATGCCTCAAATATAAAAGAAAGAATTTAGATTATAAATAACAGATTTTCAGAGAGTTCTGGTTGCCCACAGTGGAGATAAATGACCAAAGACGAATGAATAGTCTCCTTCTTTAGTGATCTTGGGGAGGCAGAGAGAAAAAGGAGAGGAATCTATCCCACATTTTTTCCATAAGGCACCCACAGGAATGCCAGGGAATAAACTAAGATTTCTTGAATTCAAGGTTCAGGAACTACACAAAGAAAGGAAAACCAGGTTTATCTGTGCTTATAAAAATGTACCAAGTAAAACCTTAAAACTGCCTTGTTACCACAAATCCACTCAAAAATTAGGCTGCAAGGACGACTTTGTAGCTATACCTAATCTTCCACAACTGTATATAAGCAGCCTAAAACCTCAGAAGTTCACTTAATTTGCAAGTCATCCTATGACTGTTCCACAGTTAGTCTGAAGTGTTGAACTTTTACCACTCAGAAAGTAATAAACAAACCATTAGAAATTAATTATTTGATCCAGCCCTACCTCCTCTTAGCTTAGAGTTAATTGCTTGATTTTCCACAAACTGAAAAGCTGGATTTATTCTCTTTACCTTCAGTGCTGAGAAGAACATGTGGTCCACTGCCATAACTAAGGCTTTTAATCTTCTTTCCACATAAGGCTTCTAACTTTTTAGGGGTAAGTGTACTCTGGTTATCTCCAGTTCCTAGACAGTTACTATAGTTCAGTCCAAATACAAAGACCTGGAAAACAAATAGTTCTGGTTGAGATGTTTGGTCTCAAGTTATACAAAGGCTCCCTTCTTCAGTCTGAAAATGAGACACACTCAAGTTCAGTTTGACAGCTCAGTAGGTAGAAAGAGACTGAAAAAGTTAAGAAAAGTCAACCTCTGCTGACATTACTTAGTTTTAAAATATTTGGCTATACTATGAAACTCAAAGAGTAGTAGGGGTGGAGTGGTATTAAACCAAGAAACTGAAAGAAAATACAGATTATATCAAAGATATAGTCTTCTTGAACTTGAGGTTCTCTTATCCCCCACCTTTTTCAATCTTCAAACTGCATGCTTAAAGCTCAATCCCAAAATAAGTCCTAAACTTAAACTCTGGATTTTGAGAGATTCTTACCTCATCATCGTCAGTAACGTACAGCGCTTCGTTGGCTGAGGTGCCAAAGACACATGCTTTCCGAATAGATGCAATTTCCTGAGATGAGAGCAGAGTGAAGATTGGCCACTTTCCTACATCCACCATGACTCTGGCTTCAAGCAATTCCTATAAATCTGCTGACATCTCTGCTGTAACAAACAAAAAAGGATTCCAAGAAAAAAAGTAAACCACTAAACTAATTTTTTAAAAGAGACTGCTAATAAAAGAAAACAAAAGCTAATTCCAGAATAAACTATCCACCTTTGGTTAAACAGGTTGCTCACTTTCCCTAGCAACGTGTCTAATCCTTCCTCCACCTTCAGACCTGGGCCATTTCCTGTAATGGGAGGGAAACTTGCCAGAACCAGTTGTTTGTCTTGCACACTTGTAAGTCAGTGCTAATCTGTTATGTAAATGCTTATATGCAAGCAGACAGCAGATAATGGAGGGAAGACATGAGAACTGGATGAAACCAGGGCCTCTTATCAGGTATATTTTCCCCAGGAAATGGTGATGGTGGGCGGGTGGATGTGTGCTATAAAAATCAGAATCATTATCTCTACCTCCCCACTCACCGACTACCACTGCTAGAATGCACTGAAAGACTCCCACCCCTTGTGGAATATCACTGCCACATGGAGCCACTGTTAACAATGGGAATGGACACACCTCAGATAGTTTAGAGGTGCAAAAATATTAAGAAGCATTTACCTAAGATTTACTAGATAAAACCATAAAATAAAGCATTATGTTCTCATCCTAATTCATATGACAACATTTTCTACATATAGACAGACCATATTTCATTTGACATTGAGAAACATTACTTGAATAAGGGCAAGACAATTCACCCTAATTCTGGTGTTAGAGGTGATGACTACAGCCTTTATGCAAATAGCAATTAGCTTAAATAGTACCCAATAAAAAGGAGAGATGTATAAATTCCCTTAAAACTTTAAACTTGATCTGTTTAAGGAGTTTTACACAAAGAATCCTGGTCATGGCTCCAGTTCTTCTAGGGCTAAAAGGTATTTCTAGAAATTCC